TGGCTTTCATCACTCTTCCTCCCCTTTCACTCACATCCAATCAATCACTAAGTCCTATAAATATGATCTCCTGATTATTTCTCTGTAATAAGAGTATTTAAAGAATAGAAATTTCACTTGCACCTATTAATCAATTTTAAAATCATAGAGACGACCAGGCATCATGTGCCACTTGATGTAATCTGTTCCATCTATGAAGTATTCTTGCTCCTAAGGGAAAAAAAACAACTGAATTTGATTAAGATTCTAGCTCTAACTACCAGTTTATAGGAAATACAGAGGACAAAAGAACATGTTTAAACATACCACAAGGATGTTATCAGCAAAATGAATGTGGAAAATTCTACAGAACAAATGACCTGGTTTCTTCAACAAATAAATGGCAAAAGAAAAAAAAAGAGAGGAGGATGTATAGATTAAAAGAGACAAGTTTTTATGTGTGGATCTCCTTTGGAATCCTGACTCAAATAAACCAACTGGTGAGGGAGAGATGTTTGAGACAATTAAAGAAATGAACACTTGATATTTAATTATTATTGTTATTTAGTTGTAAAATGGTATTGTGATAACATTTTTTGAGAGACCTTAACTTTTAGTAATACATACTAAAATATTCACAAGTGAAATGATATGGTGCCTGGGATCTGCTTTAAAATAATCCACTGGGGAAGGAAGGAGTTGATGGGAGCATTAATGAAACAAGACTGGCCATAGGTTGATAATTGTACAATTTGAATGACAGGAATTCATTTTACTATCCTTTTATGTATGTTTGAAATTTTCTATTATAAAAGTTTTTTCTATAATAAAAGGAGTTTACAACACTTAAATGACTGTCCTGGGGGTGGAGTTCAAATTCCTTAGCATGGTTTACCAAGAAAGCCTTTCATTATCTGGCCCCTGCTTACCTCTCAGGCTCATCTCACAACAGGTATCTCACAGCCCAAGCTCCAGGACTGAAAGGCTCCTGACCCATGCCTCCTCCAAAAACATTTACTACCTCTGTCTCAAACAGTTTAAACTTCTTTCTCTGTTCACATGGCTAACTCCTAATCATCATTAAGGTCACAGTAAACCTGCTTCTTCTAGGAAACTTTTCTTGACCCTCCCAGACTGACTCAAGTAATCCATCTATGTACCCCCCAAACATCCTATGCTTCCCCTATCACCTCTCACTTGCTACATGCCCCAGTAGACTCTAGGTATCATGAGAGCATGGACAATTTCCATCTTATTTACCATTTTAACCCCTCTTCCTAGCATAGTGTCTGGCACACAATAGGTACTCAATAAATATTTGATAAATTTACAAGGCATGACCCACCACTCCACTTTCCAACTCCTCACGTTTATACCTCTCTCACTTTTCCTTCTTTACATCTTCCTTTGTGATCATGATTCACATAAATGGTTAGCTGTTCACACAGTGTCCCCAAATTTATACCCATAGCCCTCCCTGGGCATCTCATCTAATAAAAATTCAACTAACAAATTCTGTGCTATAATCTAACAGTTCTTTTATCTCCAGGCCTGACCTATCTATGGCTTCAAATATATTCTGGACTCAGTCTCCTGTTATCTCCCAAACTCACTTTTACACTAGAGATACTCAGAAATTCTCAATATCTTTTTAATACCCCTTATGTTCTCAAGCTTCCCAATTTGAGCACACTTCCCATTGCCTGGAATGCCCTTCTTCTCTTCTACCGTTATCCTTTAAGTCTAGGCTCAAATGTCTCTCTGGCCTTTTTCAGGCAATGTTCCCACAGCAGTCTATTCTTATTTCTATTGTAGAATTTATCATACTGTTTTGAAATTATGTTTAGGTGTCTGCTCTGCTAGATTGAGTTCCTAAATGGGAATCTTTCTCCTTGCACCTCCAGCATATAATGCAATGCCTATTACAAAGTCGGCCTCAAGTAAATGCTTGCTGAATGAATTACATTATATTGTTTCTAATAATTAAGAAACTGAGCTAGAACTGTAAAGATTATCTAAATCTACTTTCCTAGAGGAGGTAATCGGTTTCTCTGTGCCTGTATTGAGCAGAGTAATAATATATTAAGCTCTTTTTCAAAAAGTGAAGGTACACAGGCTATGAAAACAAAAGAAATGTACAGTAAAAATATTATCCATTCCCAGGGGATGGGTTTGGGTTTGAGTTTGGGCCCAGGCCCAAAGGAGAAGATCCCGGCTGAGGTTAAATTTTGGGTGAATCTATGTTCACAGCAATTTCCGTGATTCTAACCCACCCCTGACATTATCCCCATATCTATTTTCAGTACAGGCTGACTCTAAAGCAAGGCCAATCTTGTTTAATAAAGGTTTCTCATGGCCACCCTAGAACAAACCTACAACCACAGAGTCAGACCAGAGCCCAAGTGATTTTTGAAACAAGGAATAGAGTGACTTGCTATTTACTGCTCTGTTTAAAAGGTTCTGCAACTAATTCAGATACCCTTCCTGGAAGATGTAGCTCCAAATTATCAGCCACATGCAAGCATTTAGCTGTATCTTCAAATCCTTCTGAATCCTAATGTACTGAAACAATGTCCAAGTGTACAGAATTCACTGCCAACATTCACTGTGCCCCCTACTTTCTCTTTAAGTGAATAACTATCTTTTCCCCATCTTTACCGGACCTCCTCTAATCTGGGATTGGGTATTATTTTCACAAGATCATTTTATCTTACAATATTTCTCTGTAAGCAAATACTTTAACACCAAAGAACTAGGGGGGGAAAAACCACAAAACTTCTAAATAGCCATTAGTGAGAAATACGATACCTCTTTCTGTTGGCAAGGATGATGTTTTTAAGAATCTAGTCTCAGGAGGGAAGCTGAGTATTGGGGGATGGGAGATGGGAATCTATGAAAAACCTGTATACCTTAGTCAGTAAGACAAGGAGAAATTTGTCAAGGCATTCAGAAACTAAAAGGGCAAGGAGGCCGAAAAAGGCTACACTAAAGGAAGAAAAACAGTAGAAAAGAAAATTGTGTCTGGGCTAAGAGCTCCCAAGAGCCCCAGGTGGGGCCTGTAACCCAGCATGGTCCTAGATGCAGCCCCACACAAATTTGGGATTTGCTGAGTTAACTTAATTCCATAGTGCCGCTCATTGGAATTAATCCACCTTGAATAGGTTGGAAAAATTCCATGGGATTTTCTTATATCAGATCTACTGAAACCCAGTACTATTCTTCATTTATCTGAGCCAGGGGATTTCATAATTCCAGAGTTTTCAGGATGTAATATTCACTTGCCTCTCTTTCATGGCTACCTAATCTTTGTTCCCTTTAAAAATTATGTAGAGAAAGGAAGTTGATAGTTGAAGGATGCTGAAAGTTATACTTTGTACTCCTACAGGCTTGCCTTCAATAATCACAAGCTTGCACTTTTCTCCTTTCTGTAATCAAACTGAATTTTAGTGGAAAAAATTTGGAATCCTGATTACACCATTTACTACTAGCTCTGCAATCTTGCGCAAACTGCTTAAAAGCCTGGTTGCTCAGATTCCAAAACTATAAAATGGGGAAATAAACTGGGGATAATAAATACCTACCTTGCGGAGTTGTTAGTAAAGTGAATTAAAGGAACAACTAGACTTAAATATAAGTTCCAGGGAAGAGGAATGGTCACTGTCTTCAACTCTGTTGATTCTTGCTCACACTACGGAAGAGCGCAAGAGCGTACACACCGACGACCCACACACACCTAGCCTAAAGCAATAATTAACATAGAGTGGGAGCTTAATAAATATTTTGAAATGAACGAATAAATACAATCGTCACCATTAACCCTTCTTCCACATTTTGTCTCTTCTATTATTTCCTAAGCCTTCAAGACATTGCTTTTTGTCCTTTTCAGTCGTTTCCTCCCTCTCACTAGCTATTATTAACTATACACCATTCAAACAAGTTATCTTTGAAAGTAATTTCTCTTAATACCACCCACCTTCCGTTTCTAATGTGATGGGGGTGGAGGAGATAGTCAGAACATAAGATTCATAGCAATTCATGGACTTGCCCACGGCCACTGATTCGTGTTTAACAACAATCAAGCTGTGAACTCAGCCCTGCCCAGAATATAACTTTCAGGAGACACCGCACTATCCATTCTCTCTTTGCTAACTAGAGACTTCTGTGTAGGAAATCCTCGTCTCTCAAAAGTTAAGGCGTCGGTTAGGCTCGCCTCCCGCTGAATAAAGCAGTGCGTCCCATTCATGAAACACTCAACTTGAGCAAACGGGAGGGATTTTGGACCCCATTGTGCTGCTCCTGGGCCGGTCACCTAGGGACCTGGCCAAACGACGCTCTTCAATCCCTGGAGGGAAGCAAAGGGGCGCGGCCGTCTACAGGGCCTGGAGGGGAGTCCGTGTCCAGTCCATGACAACGTGGGGAGACCGCACAGACAGCGCCACAGAGCCCTATAAACCGTGACTACGACCTCCCTCACGGCCCAAGTACAAGCCCGCTGGACCCCACCACCGCTTAATACCCCACACTAAGAAAGGAACGCGGCTCGCCCCCAACCCATAAATCAGACAGCCAGTATCTGCTTATTGGCTGCACCGGAATCTCCTTCGCCCTTATTGGCTATCCCGGACGTAAAACACTCCTTTCCCAGGGAACCCTCTCGTACGGCGGCACCCCCAGCCTAGCAACCTCAACCCGGCTACCAAAAAGCACTGCCCCCCTCCACCCAGGAATTGCGACCCGCGAGAAGCTCGGAGCTTCAACCTCCCCGAGGACTCACCGTGTAGTAGGAGAGCAGCCCTGCATTGTAGTCCAGCACAAACCAACGGTACTGCCAGCCCTTCATCACGTTAGTCCATTTGCTCAGCGGCCCCTCCATGATGGACGCCATCTTGGGAGCCGCCAATGATAACAAACGGCCTGACGTCACTCGCCTATAAGGCATTGAGCTTGCGGGGGGCGGGGCCGCCGCGGAAAGGGGCGGGACTGGGAAGGGAAGGGGCCGGGAAGGGGCGGGTCCCGCGGCTGCTCCTCCACTTGGACTCCGCTAACTTAGGCACCCAGGTACCGTCCTAAAACACGCATTCTTTGGGAGCCTGTTGTCTGTAGCTGTGCCAGGGATGTAAGAAATACAAGCATGAGTACTGCTATTAAAAGTATTTATTAACAGAAATAATTTTACTAGCCATGATGGCTCCTAACATTTTCAAAAGATTTCACATCTGATATTCATTTATGCATTCATTACAGAAATCCGTTCATTTTATAAATATTTGCTGTTTATTGCTAGATACTGTGTTAGGCTTTCAGCATTCAGCAGAGACGTCATGAGGAGTAGAGGGGAACAGGCAGTAAAATAAATAGTAAATGATATAGTATATTAAAAATGGTAAGTACTGTGGAGAAAAATCAGGCAAGGAAAGAGGCAGAGAGTTGGAGCTGCAATTTAAAATTCCCAAATAGGGAAGACCTAGATGAGAAGGTTACTTTTGAGCAAAGACCTAAAGAAAGTGAAGGAGGGAGGCTGGGGAAAGAGCCTTCCAGGGAGAAGGAATAGCAGGTGCAAAGACCATGAGTCAGGCATTTTGAAGGAACAGCAAGGAGTTCAGTGTGAGCAGAGCAGTGAACCAGGGAGAGAAGTAAGAGACAAGGTCAGAGAAGTAAGGGCAGATCACTTAGAGCTGATAAGGACTATGGAAGTATTGTCCTCCTATATCCAAGCACTGTTGGACGTTCTGAGAATTCAACAGTGAATGAGCCAGAGAAGTTTCTTGCTTTCTAAGAGCTTAAATTCAATGATGGAAAGTAAACACTAAACAAGAAAAACATATAATACTGATAATTGCTTTGCAGAGAATTTAAGTTGATAGAATAAGAAACCAATGTGTGGCTACTTTATATTGGGTGGTCAGGGCAGGGACCCTCAGGAAATGGCATTTAAATTGAGATGTGAAAGAAAAGAAGGCCCCATGCAAATATCAAGGGAAAGAGCTAAAATCAAAACTGAGAGGTGGGGCATTATTAGCTCTAACTGACAGTGAGTGAGGTCAAGGGAGAGGTTTCCTTTTTATTTTCTTTTTATTTTTTTTCTTTTATCTTGGACTTAAATAGTATTTTGTTTATTCAGATGCTGTGTTGTGAATCTCTTCTCTTTGCTGATAACAGAAGTTCTAGGAAAAAGAATATCACTGAGGAAGCTAAACAGAGAACCTACTTGCTGGCTAATCAAATTAGATAAAAACCTAAAGTAAGATAAAATTTCTCATGCTTCGTCTGTTTGATATCTTTTTTTCCCAGTTATTGAGATATAATTGACATATAACATTGTATAAGTTTAAGGTATACAACTTAATGATTTGATATATATATAGTGAAATGTTAAGTTTAGTTAACATCCATCACCTCACCTCACAATTTTTTTCTTGTGATGAGAACTTTTAAGATCTCTCTTAGCAACTTTCAAATATACAATACATTATTGTTAACTAGAGTCACCATGCTGTACATTACATCCCCAGAACTTATTTACCTTATAACTGGAAGTTTTTACCTTCTGACTACCTTTTAGTTTGATGTAGTCCCACATATTTATTTTTGCTTTTGTTGCTTGTGCTTTAGGAGTCATATCCAAAATAATAATAATAATAATAATAATTGCCAAGACCAATGTGAAAAAGTTTTCTACTTAATGTTTTCTTCTAGGAAATTTATGGTTTCAGGTCTTACATTTAAGTCTTTAATCCATGTAGAGTTAATTTTTGTCAGTGGTGTAAATTAAGTGTCTAATTTCATTCTTTTGCATGTGAATATCCAGTTTTCCCAATACCATTTATTGAAGAGACTGTCTTTTCTCCAGTGAGTATTCTTGGCTCCCTTGTCAAATATTAGTTGACTGTATATGCAAGGTTTTACTTCTTAGGCTCTCTATTCTGTTCTGTTGATCTGTTTTTAGGCTAATACCATACTGTTTTATCTACTATACCTTGGTAATATAGATTGGAATTGGGAAGTGTGATGCCATCACCTTTGTTCTCCTTTCTCAGGATTGCTTTGTGGTTCCAAATAAAATTTAGGATAGTTTTTTCTTTTTCTATAAAAAAAATGCCATTGAAATTTTGACAGGGATTGAATCTATAAGTGGTTTTGGGTAGTATGGACATTTTAACAATATTAATTCTTGCAATCCATTAACACAAGATATCTTTGCATTTATTTGCTCAGGTACCTAATAGTATTAATTGGTGAGTATCTGAGTCAATATAAACACATATATGTGTTTTCATTACATTACATGGTCTCCCCAAAACATACTACACACTTCTCACAGAAATTTAATGTTCCAGAAACATTATTCAGCAGAAAGCCTCATGTTGCTGATGTCTTTTGGTAGAAAACAAAGTGTTGGGATCTTGAAACGCATGATTCAGACTGAGTTAAAAGATCTACAGAGTGTTAATTACTACTCCTCCATTAGCTTCTTAATAGCAGGAACCCTGTTTTATTGATCTTTGTAGCCCTAGAAACTAGCCCGGTGCCTGGCACATAGAAGGTGCTCAATTATTATTGTTTGATCTGAATTATGTGTTCCATTGAAACCAACCTACTAAGTTCCAAGGACTATGCTAAGCGCCATCACCTACATTTTCTCCTTTAATCCCCACAACAATCCTTCAAGATTTATATTATTATACCCATTTTACAAAGGAGGACAGTGGCACATAGAGGTATTGAGTGGCTTGCCCCAGGTCACGTAGCTATTAAACAGCAGAACCAGAATTAGAATATAGGTCTTTTCACCCCAGGTCCATCCCACCCCAGCTGCAAGCTATATTTACATTGTCTATGTGTAAATAAATGTCTTTGATATGACATAGGAAGTATCATCAAATTCTAAATCAGTTTTAACTTTTATCTGATCACCAGGCATTGGCAGGCTCTTCTTAGCTCCAAATGTCAAAACACAGGTCATGAAAGAAAGCCAGGAGCAAGGGCAGTTCTTGATTCCTAAGACCATGTCCAATTGCACAACACTAGGTCTGCATTCTACTCCCAGTGTCAAACTACCTGCTTTAGATCATCAGCTAAAATTAAACATGGCGAAGACATATCTGTTCTTGTTCCCACATTCCTCAGTGACTGGCCTCTGGTGGAATGAGGTAGCAGCTGAAGCAGAGCAGAAAATGAGGATTAGACTCAAAATCAGAAGGTAGAGATGATGTTAACCATTAAACAGCATAAGCTTATCAAGGACAGGAACTGGGACTAATTCATCCCACCATTTAGAATATAAAAAAATGTTACACAAAGATATGATTTTTTTTTTTTTTAGATTTTATTGGGGAATTGAGGGAGGGGAACAGCATTGGGGAATCGGGGGAGGGGAACAGACAAGTTGCTGTCCCTTTGTTCTTCAGTCCAGTTGTGGAGGACGTCGCTTCACTGGCCCATGTTGGTATTATCATTGCGCTCTTCCTGGGTGAGGCAGTCGCTCGCCGGCCATTGGACGGCTGCTCACAGCGACTCACGGCAGCTGCCGGCCACTCACAGTAGCTCATGGCAGCCCACTGCAGCAGGGTCTGCAGCCCAGGTCCAGGTTGAGCTGTTGTTCACCATCTTAGCTGTAGAGGGCGCAGCGTCACTGGCTCTTATGTGGGATCCAAACTGGGGCCCTGCTGCTCAGAGCTGGCATCCCAAGCCAACTCTTAACCAATGCACCCCTCAGCTGGCCCAAGATATGATTTTTAAAAGACCATTCTGGCAGCAAAATTGAGAACAAACCGTGAGGGGCAAGACCAGAGGCAAGAAGACAAACTAAGAGACTTTTTAAAACCAAGCAAGCAGTAAAAAGATTATAAACTTGGACAATTGACAGCAGAGATGAAGAGTGGGAAAGACACTATACTGTGTATTTTTTTAGAAACATTTTAGAGTTAAGATTTTAAAATTCATTAAATAATGGAATTAAATAGAAGGGAATAAGGGGCAGGCAGAGACAATACCAACAACTTGTGTAACTGAATGATGATTTAGGTAATCAAGGTTTTTGGGGTTTTTTGCAAAAAAAAAAAAAAAAAGGAAGGAAGAACAAAAACAGCTTGTGTTTCTCAATATGAAGTTTCCTTCCTTTACAGCTGTTTAGAAATGTGATTTTTTTTTTTTTTGGTTTCTAACAAAAGTGATTTCTAGTTTTTCCACAGCAAGATTATAGGTGCAAATTGCTTTAAAATGCATTCTGTTGTTCTTGGTTTCCTGCCTTCTCTTCCTAAACTTCCTTCCAACTGCTTTTTGTTATTGCTGTTATTGTTGTCATGTTGCTTAATTGGCACTTGTTGGGCATCAAATAAAACAAAATTTACAAAATACTACCTTCTTAAGGGAAAAGACAGAAACTTAACAAAAACTTGACTGTGCTTTGCTGGGAAGAGAGGAAACAGAAGATCAAGCTTAAATATGGGAAAAGCAAAATAAGACACAGCCTATGTTGTCCACAAACAAATCCCAGTTCTTTCCCACCCTTTCTCCTAGCTAGAGAACAAGTAAGTGAAACATCAAGTTTAGGAAAATTTGGCTATGAGTTTGAGCTAAAAGGGAGCTGGGAAAGGGAGAGAAAATATTTTAGGAGATCTAGGCTCTGTAAGTGTTCTATGGAGAAAAAAGAGCACTACACTCGTCTTTTGCTCTCCCTATCTAATGTGCCCATTGGAGACCCACATCCCAGCTACCCTCGACTTTATACATTCACAAACATCCTCCCTCCCTCAGATAGAATGGACCCATCATCCCTTTGTGCTCCGCCTGCACTCTGAACAAACTTCTAGCAGAGCCCGGGACACCTTATTGCATTTACTGGTTCAGAGAGTCTGAATGCCCCACTTGACAGTGGGGTCTTTGAGGACTCGGTCATATATACATGCTCAAACTTAGCACATTGCTTGATATGGGCAGCATGGGCCAGTAGAAGCAGCCCAGGCATCTGGATAAAAGGGGAAGGGGAAGCTGGTTTGCTGGAAATATAGTTTTTACTTATATTTTGTATGTACTTAGGTTGGCGTAGAGGAGTTAATAAGGGTTATAATCAGAAACTGGTGGGAGTTTGCAATTTCAGAGGT